TAATAAGGGCATGCGACTCACCATGATCGATGTCCTTTCTTCTGGCTTCTTCATTAAATAAGGCATCTTTAACCATAGACATGGTCAGATTTCCACTAGGAGCTGAATTACTGAGAGAGACTACCAGCGTCTCCCAACTATCAGGAAGAGAACTAAGAAGTAGTAGGGCTTGCATCTCATCCCCGAGCGGCATGTCAACAGACGATAATTGATTTATCAAGCTCTGAAACTCACTGGTATGCTCGGCAACTGAAGTTCCGTGCTTTAACTTCAAATTTACCAAACGCCTCATCAACAAGGTTTTGTTCCTAGCAGTCTTGGCTTGATACATCCCTTCTAACTTCACCCAGAGGGCATACGCATCTGTCTCTTGTGCAACATGATGAAAAACGCTATCGTCAATCCATTGTCGAATTTGACCGATAGTTTTTCTGTTTAATTTCTTCCACTCTGCTTCTTTGGTGGAATCGGGGTTCCTACCCTTTGCTTCTATGGGATCAAACAAATCTTTACAACTGAGGAGATCTTCCATCCGAGGTCTCCACAATGTGTAATTTGTGGCAGTAAGCTTTATCATAGCTCCAGATGATGATGACTCTTCCATTATGTCTTTAAAATGGCTTGGTCAAAATTTTGGAGCAGAATCTCACCAAACGGAACTCACCAACACGTCCGGAATGGTGAAAAATGGTAAGATTGACTCTTCTTGGGTCAAAATAGGGCCTCCAGAAAATTTTCAAAATTTACACCAAACTTTTGGGGTTAAATCGAAAATATACTGAACTTGTGGGGCAGATTTATAATTTCAGTAACTTCAGGGGTTATTTCATAAATTTCTAAAAATTTTATGATGACTGGATGTGGACATGGCGCTGACTGGATGCGGACGTGGAGCTGACTGGATGATGATGTGGCGCTGACTGAATGATGATGTGGCGCTGACTGGGCAGTTACTATTCATCATCTTCTTCCTTGGGCAGAAGAAAAAAAATTGCCATAACTTCTTCGTTTTAGCTTTGTTTGGCCTCCGGAAAATTGCGTTGAATTCGTATCGACGCAAGGAATCTAATTAAATGATCAAAACACACCGAAGATCACGTTTTTGAAAAAACGTAAATCCGGGTTCAAATTTTCAGTGTTCCGATATTTCTCGATGAACACAGAATCGAAGGCTCTGATACCACTTGTTGTGATTCTCGGATCAATATGAAGATTATTTGGGANAAAAACGTAAATCCGGGTTGAAATTTTCAGTGTTCCGATATTTCTCGATGAACACAGAATCGAAGGCTCTGATACCACTTGTTGTGATTCTCGGATCAATATGAAGATTATTTGGGAGGAAAAACAACTCTATTTCACAAGAATAGAATTATAGAGAATTTACACCAAGAATTTCTCTCTACAAAAAACCTCACCAAACTCTCTTTTTGTTCTCACAATCTCTTCCTGGATTGTATTTCAATCTCTCTGGATTGATGTTTCTGTGTAAAACATAAGGCTCTATTTATAGCCTTAAAGAAGGTGGTTGGTGGTTGAATTCTTCATTCAACAATGGAGGCTTCAACAATGGTGGCTTCTAGAATGGGTTGGTGGCTTCAACAATGGTGGGCTTCTAGAATTGGTAGTTGGCAGCAGCTGAACTTATCAGAATGGGCACTAATATTAATCTAACTACTTAAAAATCAGCACTAGTAAATTGAAGAACATATTCCATCTTTACTATAAAAGGGAGGAACTCTTGAATATCTATAAGCACTCCAATAGAGAGAGAAAAAAGGAAAAGTATTTACATGCATAACAAGTTTAAGATGGCAAAATCAACCGATGTTATGGGACGTATGTTTGTTTTGTTTTCCCCATTAACTCAAGGCACCCCAGAGCCATCATCTGCACTAGAACCATCATATGTATCAGAGTTATCATACGCACTAGAAGCAACATTACCAATAGTATCAATAGGATTTTCTGCTGCGAGCCGTAGCTCTCGTCTGGACCTTCAAGGTACATCTAGTCATTACAAAAGTTATATTTATTTTAGGATTTTTTATTCCTCAAGTCATTTGAGAATATATTTGTTATTTTACGCAAAAAATTTGCACAACTTAAGAGTAGATACATCTTTAGAGACACTAATCAGTTTAAAACCGCATTCCTATTTGAAAATGTTTAATTGAATTTTGATGTTGGAATTTCAAAATAAGTTTTTTGTCTTTTTAAAATTATAATAATTTGACACTAATTGATTCGAGTCTCTCGTATGAGTATAATTATTTTATAATCATAATTACAAATGCATATTCTTGATTCAAATCTGTAGGTTTTGCTTGCTTCTGGTAGGTTCGTAGCCCTTTTATTATGAATTTTTTAAATATCTTTTATATATAAAAATACGTTTGTTTCGTGAATTTCAGTTTGCGCTGGATTGCCACAATGCAATAATTGTTGCATTTGCGAGAAAGGCCTATGTGTTCGCTGTTGTTTTTAGAGGATATACCAAAATAATCTATGTTCCAGTTAGGGGTGTTCATAAAAACCCGAAAAATCGAACCAAACCATAAACCAAACCAAACCAACCAAAAAAATCGATACTTTTTTTTTGGTTTTGAATTTCAAAAACTGATCGAATTTGGTTTGGTTTTGGTTTTAATCAGAAAAACCGAAAACACCCGAACCAAACCGACTATAGGAGTAGCTATTTCAAATTTATTATTACACCTATATATATGTATATTTTATACAAAGTTTCAAAAATTTAATGATAAATGTTAATAGTTTGCACTTTTAGTATAGTTCTTTACCTTTACATTCTAGTATGATTAGTAGTTTTCTTTTATTAAGTGTAAGAATCTATGTCGTGATAAAAATAATATATTTTTAATTGAGTCCTTAAATTATTCATCACTATTTGATTCAATTATCATCAATATATCTTGGTAAATAATAGATTTCTCAAAGGGCAATTGATTTGTTAGTGTTACGTTGAAAATGTGATCGCCGGAATATGTGTTTAATAGTGTGTGTCTTATATTTAAGAAAAAACAATAAATAACCGAACAACCGACAAAACCCGACATAAACCGAATCGACAAAAACCGACTTAATTGGTTTGGTTTGGTTCTAATATTTGAAAAACCGACTTACTTGGTTTGGTTTCTTTTTAGGGAAAAACTGATCCAAACCGAACCATGAACACCCCCTAGTTCCAGTTACTATGAAATGAATGACTAGCTATCATATTTATGGCTATTGTAATATTAAAGTACGATTATCATCTTCACGTTTAAAGGACTTATTTTTTTATTTTTACTGTTTAAAGTTATTTTCTTCGTAATATATATTTGTTACAATTTTAAAGCTAGACGATCGTGACTGACATTTAGCAAGCATGACACTCGCTAAATGAGCTCTTGATCATTTGTTTTGTAATATCAATTACAACATGCAAGCTTGTAATAAATCTTCAAGCACCAAACCAACTTGTAATACATATAACCAAAATTTGTAAAGTGGTCTGGTGTCTGAATGCATCATCATAATAAAATAAGTCCCATCAAGATGTGCAAATGAATAACAAGATAATAAAATAATTAATGGGTCACCAACAAAAACTATTAACAGAAATGAACAATCCAAAAGAAATACATTGAGTATGTTGTTGTTGTTGTTATAGTTAACAATCCGACAAAAAATGTTGAACATAAAAGAACCTACACCTAAAATATCTAGGATAAAATTTGATCGACAACAGAATGAGTTTCAAGCAGATTCATGGAAAACCCGTAAACCCCTAATGAGATACATGAATATGGAGAAAGCAAACTAAAGGATGGATGTGATAGATAGTTTATATAAGTAAAATGACACAAAATAAAGCAATGGAATGATTGATTCCTTGACATTTCCATCTACTACTAACCTTAAACCAAAATTGTCAAGAAAGAAGCGAAAAATCAAGTAATTGATGCAAATTAGCTAACAAGTAAAATAACTTGACCAACAAATTATTTAGCATTCAAATATAATTCAAAGAAGAAAGATAAATTGAACTCCTACATTGAATACTTTCTAGAAGAAATATCAAATCATTAAAGAGGTAAAGTACAAAATCTTTAGCATAATCAGTTGATCATTTCATCGTAATTATCATTTAAAAGCTTTAAGGAAAGTTTACATCGTCAAAAAGGATAAATAAAGCATGCTCAACGTATCAACACATACTAACTTTTACGGCGAAGCGTACTGCTAGAAATCTGGGAATTATTGATCAAAAATTTGCGACCAAAGTTGGCCGGTCAAAAAAAGCGACCAAAGTTGGTCGCTAATGTGGAGAAAATTATTAAATAATTATTTTAAATAATTTACCGACCAAAGTTGGTCGCTTTTTGGTCTGTAAAGTGGTCAACATGTTGACCGGGCTGGTCAAACTTGCTTGGTCAAAGAAATATTGAAATTAGCGACCAACTTTGGTCGCTAATATGGGACCCAGTTATAACGTTTTAATAATTATATTATTATTTAAAATATTGTATAAAATATAAATAAATCTTATTTAAAATTAGCGACCAATATCAACATGTTCATGCTCATCAATGATATGCTCATTTTCAGGAAGATATTGAATAATTTGCAGCACTCTTTCTAATTCCCTTTTGGCACAATCAAGACGACTTTTGTCTTCATTGATTCACGAGTCAAATCTCTAACTATAGATTGAAGACTTTGGAACTCATTGTCGTCGTTATTGGGATTCATCATATGAGAAAATTTTAGTACCAATACATTTTCTTGCCTCCATCCAGCCAACAAATACTTCTCTGGCAACATGAAATAGTTATGAGCATTAGTACTCAAATAGAATGTCTACACAAAATTCCTGAAAATTCAAACTCTTGACAAGAACATTGAACAACCTCTTCTAATGGATTCCAATAGACAAAACGTCTACCATCTGTTTTGTCATAGTGGCGCACAATATAAGATCCATCACTATTTGAAAATAGACCATATTCAACAGAGAGTATCATCTCATCCTGTAATAACTTGAAGGAAAAAGGTGTGAGGACTTTTGATGCATGTTTCTACATTGGCATGAATGTCTTAATTTGAGAATTGTAATACTTTTGCCGCATCGTTGCCTCTTCGCTAGCATGATTTCTTATGCTAACCGCTGTACCTACCTGCTCAACAAATTCTTTCAAACTAGTTCTTGCATGTAAAAATCTTTTCAAATATGCATTAATAGATTCAGAGCGTCCAGTTGTTGTCATTCCAGCAAAAAAATATCCTTTCAAATATGGCAATGCCCATGATGCACGGTTTACATAAAGCAATTTGATATGCCTATCTGATTCAAGATCGAATTTAGTAATCAATTTTTTCCACTGACACTCAAATTCTTCTATGCTACCAATTTCATAAAGCCTGCGAAATTCATATTTAAATTGCAGATACCTTGAACCAAGGACAAAAGAAAACCAAGTAGAGAACTTGGATGTAATATGCCATATACAAAAGGCATGTTTTGTGAGAGGAAGTTTGATCGCTTCTATTAAACCAAGATCTTGATCAGTTAATATGGTTTGTGGATGTTTTCCATTCATAAGCCATAAAAAACTCTGCAAAAATAAATAGACATTAGCAATAAAGAAAGAAAATATTAAAATAATTTTAAAAATATAATAATATTCACCTTTAATGCCCATAAAAAGGAAGATGCCTTCTCATTTCGTAACAGAACACAACCGAAGAAAATGGTATTTCCATGATTGCTCGCGCCAACCCAAACTCCTAGCGGCATCTCATAACGATTCAATCGATAAGTAGTATAAAAAACAACCACATTTCCAAAAATCTCATAAGCACGAATGGAGTCCCCAAATGTCCAAATGATATTTTCAAGTCTTTGGCATGCATCAACTGTGAAATCATATTGGAAATCAACATCTTTGTCTTTCAAACTCTTACAAATTTTTAATAGCTCCAAAGCATCATATTCAATATTGGTAGAACTTTGTGATTGAACAAAATTCCTGATGTCTTTTTCCGTAAAAAACAACTGGCCTACATCTACACCCTTTTCTAGTTCAAGCACTCTTCGGATTAAACTCATTGAACATCCAGCTTTTGCAAGAAGTAGAATCCTCTTTTGATCAATAATGTCAATATTTCGATAAGCAGGAAGAAATTTCACTTCCTTATGATTCAATAGTTCATGATTGTGGACATTATCAAAATACACCACTATCCAACAAGTGACGCCATTAATTATTTCTTTTGCAACACACATCTTAGCATTACAATTGCATCTAGGAGATTTCCGGTCTCGTTGTCGCTCTTTTTCAACAACCTTCTGAGGACGAGGGCTTCTAGCTCGATGGCAAACGTAATCTCTCCTATAAATTCCCGTAGGATGTTCTGCACTTCCAAAATAGCGATCTCGTCTAGTTGAGAAACCAATTTGTTTAGCAAAATTTACATAGCAATTATAAGCTTCATCATCACTATTAAACACTTTGCCCTTGTACAAGTCACTATTACCCATGTCAATATTTTCATGTCTAAGTTCTTCATCTGATCTTTCAGTAATTTCTCCATTAATATAACATTCATTATCACCACATGAACAATGACTTCTTGAGACACCTACCGTAAAATCGACGGAAATATTATTAAGCACATGTATTTAAAGCCAACAAAAGTATAAAAATTTATCGATATAGATTGTTAGATTAAGAAAAAAGACAAATAAGATGAAAATAATGGCGGCATAAACAAATCAAAAGAAAAAGAAATTACAAAAAACTTATACCATGATTCTGATATGAAAATAAGTATTTAAAGCCTTACCTTCTGTGAGCACGTGATTTTTGCCATATATATATGAATTACTCCCATAAATTCAAAACAAAATAATTTCTTTCAGTATTTGCAATTTTGTGGATTCTCATGGCATTTTCTGTTAATTGTTTGCATTTTGTCTGTGCATTTTAATTTAAGAAAAATACAAAAATATGTTGCATTTGCATTTAGGATTTAATTTTACATTTTTAGGATTAGTTGAAAAATTATTTATTTTATAGAAGTGGGAAAATCACAAAAAAAAGTTTATTTTGCACTTTTAATTTTAATTTTGAATTTCAAGTAGTTTTCTTTTTAATTTACTTTCTTAATTAATTATGATAATTATTATTTGGGTTTAAGTAGTGTTTTGATGGGGTAATTAGGTTTTAGGATTTAATTTGATTTTTAATTTAGTTTTGAAAAAAAAAAGAAAGAAAAGAATTGTTGAAAAAATTTTGATTGGAAAATTGGAAAATAAAAAGAATATATAGACAAATTTGGGCTGCCTTTAATTAAAATCCACACATGCCCAAAACCTTTCCCCTTACCCGTCCAAAATGGCCCAAAACCCGTCCCAAACCCGGGTCCAACCGGTCCCTCCCCCAATAACCAAAACGGCGTCGTTGTATACCTTTTTTATCACGACCGTCGGATCTCCTTAATCCAATGGTCCGGAACTGGGGAGGTAACGATATTTATATGTCCAAACGGAACTCTACCCCCCTTCTCAGAACTCCCCCACACTTCATCTCCCTCACCTCACCCTTCGCCTGAGACCCCTTACCCAAAACCCTAACGCCACCCTGAAATCCCACCGCCTCAGGCCGGCGGCGCTGGTCCCAATCAACACCAGATCAACACCCCAGACTCCCCTTCACCTCCCCTTTCCGAATCCTCACTTCTATTCTTTCAAATCTGTTCGAAACCCCTCGAATTTCAAATCAAAGGAGAAACCCTAGTGCCGCCTTGTTCTCTCCGGTGGCGGCGCCACCTCTGTTCAACCCCAAATCTACACCACAGAACCTCCTTCACCTCCTTTGCCCCAATCCCTAATCTTTTTCCCTCAAATCACCCTAGAACTCTTCGAATTTTAGATCAAAGTCGAACCCTAGAACCCCAATCGAGATTCTGCAGATGATTCGTGTTTAATATGATTTTATTCGTCAGTTCTCTACGAGAACATGCGATTAATATCATATTTGACCGGAAACTCGAAGATTTGAAGATTCACACTTATCTCTTCTTGGTTCGAACTGTAATAGGTATCTTTCCTTTTGTTTTTTGATTTAATCTTTCCTTCAGTGTTCTTTCCCCATGCTCTGTTCTCTTTGTCTCTTCTTTTCATTTTGTCCCAGAATTTCTTTGAGACATGCATGAGCAAATGGTGTCGTTTTCTTAATAAGCAGTAAGCTAATTAACCTAAAATGGTTAGATAAGTAAGTCATTTAGGCTAACTTCTCGCAAATTGTCAGTATGTGCTTTTGTGGGTTGCAATTCGATAGTAGGGCAAATGCCAATTGAGGCTGTTTGCGCTCTTGATCTTGTGAGGTTGGGCTTGGGTCAGAGTCCGACTCACTTTGGTTTAGAAAAATTGGGTCAAATTAGACCCATGACCCATTTGAGTCCAAAGGTAATTTTCAGAGGTTTAGAGGGTAATTTGGGGAAATTGGGGTAGAGAATCTCGGTGTAACTGACTAGGGAAGCTTCTAGGAAGTTGGGGTTGGGGTTATTCTGAATTTCTAGATTGTACATTGAGGACTCCTAAGCAAAAATAAAAATTTCAGAAGGTTTTAAGTGCAATTTTGACTCTTTAAGGTTGCCCTAGTAGTTTGCCTAAAAAGGCATTGTTACTTGGAGCTCAAGTCAGATCTTTAAGAGCTAAGAGACCGAAGAGCTGAAATCCAGAAAATATAGAAAACTGCACAAATTTACTATTTCATAAAGGAGTGAATAGAAAAATCAGAAAAATACAAAAAACGTGGCTGAAAACTTTAGCGAAACACTGTTCCAATGAATTTTATTTGGTGATTTTGAGTTTTCTAAGTTCTGAATCAAATCTCTAGCTTATTTGAGTTGAAAATGGTTTACGCATTCCTGTGATTAGCGTATGAGATTTTTTTTAAGCTCCTGGGATTGTTTTGAGTTTTAAACTCGGGCATTCAAGCTTGGTTTGAGCTGATTTCTGCTGCTTGACACTGTTTTGCTATTGCTGATTCCCTGCTTTCCTCTTATTTTGTTTTTCCCAGGTATTTTCTCATACCATTTGCTAACAAATGAGGTGCTACAAGTTAGAACCAGACTGAATTTGTACATAGAGTTGGAGATCTAAGCTGGAATTTGAATAGAAATCCTGTTTAAATGTTAAAATTCTATTAGCTTTTGCGTTTTACACCTCTAATTTCCCTGTTATGAAGTAGATCATCATATTTTCTTTCGAATATGTTAAGTCGTTCATCCATGCTCAATGACTTAAGTTTGTTTTTTGGCCATTTAGAAAGAACATTTGGATTTTGGCCATGTAAATGGACTGTTAAACATTTTACAAGGACTAACTGCCTGAATATCTTAGTTTGTTTGTTTTTCTGTAGTTTGGAATTAGGATTTGGGTATTGATGTTAGAGGGTTTAATTAATTCATGCATGTTTATATTTGTTTCAGTCAAACTTGAAGTTAGTTTGTGATTTGGTATTCATTAATGTTAAGCTTACTGAAATAACAAGTATAGAATGAGGTACCATCTTTCAATTGGAATTCATGTTAGAGATTGTTTCGTTTATGCCTGATATCCAAACCATGCAATACTATTTGTTTAAAAGTTAAGGGAGAGTATTAATTTTTGGGTAACAAGGTGATAATGAATAAGTCATCATAGGATAATACCCTCATTACAAATTTGTTTTGACATCAAAATACAGTTTGATCATGCTTAAGGATAATCAATTCTAGTTTAGCATTTCTGGAATATTGTGAAGCATTGTGGTTATGATTGTGATGGGAATAATTTGGATCACGAAATTGGACTATAGCGTATGGCTCAATAACTCTAAGGGGTACATTGATGCGTCTGTTCTTTTGGGCTTCAGGCAAGCCTATTTTTCCTTTCGCGTGTATGGGCGTCTGATTCTATGATTTGGGCCTCATTGTGGATTTTGGACCATAAGTACACTTGAGTTGAAATTGCCAGCTTCATCAGTTGGGCCAGTGCAAGTGGCCTCAAGAATTTAAGCCGGGATAGCCCTATCACGCTGTTGGGCTCGCGCTGGGACCAAACGAGGCAGCTTTTGCTCTTTAAAATATTAGTTCGCTTAAGAGCTGAATTGAACCCCACTTGCTTTAAAATTAACATAAGCCATGTAGGGAATTTCTAATTAGTTTAGAGACCTTTCGAGTAGAATAAATTGGGGCGCACCAAGCCAAACAAAATTACAAATGCCTGGCTCTCGTGTGATCATTTCTTTTAATTCTAGAATTCGGGGCGTGCCGTTTAACAAATTTCCACGGCCCTCGCGAAGTTAATAACGCGTTAGGTGCTTTAGGCGTGCACTTTAATAATATTACCTTCTTAAACTCGGGTGCACATTTATGTGACCCAAATCCAAATCTCAACGATGTTAAAATATGTCAAAAACCACGGGTGCATTTATGTGACGTGGTTCGAGACGTGTTTTAGTAACGTTGCAATTTTCTTTAAAAAATAAATAAAAGCGGTTAAAAAGTTAAAATTGCACATAGATTAAAACATGTATTAAAATCAAATAATGGGTCAATTATAACAGTTGAGCGACCGTGATAGAACCACGGAATCCGGGAATGCCTAACACCTTCTCCCGGGTTAACAGAATTCCTTACCCGGATTTCTGGTTCGCGGACTGTAATATAGAGTCAAGCTTTTCCTCGATTCGGGATTTTAAAACGGTGACTTGGGACACTATAAATTATCCCAAGTAGCGACTCTGAATTTTTAAATAAATAATTCTGTTTCGATTGTCACTTAAATTGAAAAAACTCCCCTTATACACCCTTTCGGGGGGTATAAGAAAAAGGAGGTGTGACAGTTCTGGCGACTCTGCTGGGGATCAAACCCAGAATCTCTGGTTCAGGGTTCAAGAATTCAAGCTTAGATGAATTGTTATATTTGGTTTTATCTGTTATCTGATTTTATTACATGTTTGGGCCTAATGTGCTAAATATTGCTTTTACCGCTTTGATATTATCTGAACTATATATAAACTGCTACGAAACTCTTCTCTTCTCATCTTCGGGGATGTGCTCGCTGGTCTAGACTCCCTATTCTGTTAGTGTCATACCTTGAAATAAGAAAGAGGCTCGGTCAAGTTACTAAGTCGGATGGCCTCTTGGTTCCCGGCACGTAGCCCCCTCCTCAGCTCGAGTTGTCCGCTTGGGTACACAGTCTAGAACATATACCCATGTTTTGAACTTAGAATAACTCAGCCTCATGCCGGATCCCTAGTAGGAATGTCTGTTTGCATCATGTGCATTTTGACTTTGGAGACTCAACACAGGGGTTGGGTCTATCTAGGACAGGTGTACCCGAAATGTAAAGACCATTATGATGCATCTTACTTGCTACTTGTGCATTCATTTGCTTCGGTTTTGCATGTCGACCGGCTTATAAGGAAAAATTAGAAGGGTTAATGAGATGGTTGAGGAGGATAAGTGTCGGTTTTGAAAAACCAATGT